AACTTGATAAAAAATAACATATTTCAATCTTAATATGACTTATGTACTCAATTCCTTACCTTCTTCCTTATAGGCAAAGATACAGAAATCAGAGTAGGAACAAAGAACTTATACAGAGACAATAAAGCTTGGAGATGAGACTGCATGCCCTGAAATAAAATAAGAGTTTTCAATTTTCAATGTGTATCCAACAGGAAACTAGGTGGAAAAGAAAACAAGAAAAAAAATGTAATGATAAAATAAACTGAGACCACACATATATTCAGACACTAATTTCACTACATGATAGCTAACTATGGGAAGATGCTATAGAAGAGCAAGGAATGGATAACCTGATATTTAAATCAACCATTATAAAACAACTATCCTGCAACATATGATTTTTAAAAATATTTGGTGGTTAAATATACATAACAAAAATCCTGCCAGTGTAACCACTCTAAAGTATACAAGTATATATTACATTCACCATGTTGCTATAACCATCATAATTTTTTATGATCTTTTCCCTGTATTACTTCTCCCTTGTATTTTCTCTCTTCTCTTCCTGTTTTATCTTCTTCTTTGCCAGTCTTAGGCAAAGAAGGCTTAGGCTTCTTAGGCTTACCAGTCACACTTGCAAGCATACCTTACTCTCATTCATAGCATACTCAGGACTCAAAGAAAGAGTTGTTTGCTGTTGTTAGCTGCTGTCAAGTTGACCATGCAAAACAGGATCAGACTGTTGTGATCATAGGGTTTCCATGGGCTGATTTTCAGAAGTAGATCACTAGGTCTTTCTTCCTAGATTGTCTTAGTCTGAAAGCTCCACTAAAACCTGCTCAATACACAAGCCTCCATGGACAGACAGTTGGTAGCTGTGCTTGAGGTGTACTGACTGGGAATCAAGCTCAGGTTTCCCACATGGAAGGTGAGAATTCTATCACTGGACTACCACTGTCCTCAAAGAGTTTGTTGTTATAAGCCGATAAGTCACTTGAGACTGACAGTGAACCTATAGGGCACAGTATAACCATTGCATAGGGTTTTCCAAGGCTGTAATCTTTACAGAAGCAGACTGTCACATCTTTCTCCCACAGAGCAGCTGGTGAGTTCAAAATGCAGACCTTCTGGCTCTCAGCTGAGCACTTAACCATTGTACTACCAAGGTTCATTTCAAATAGTTTCACCCAAAAAAAACCCAACACAGTGCCATCGAATCCAGTATGACTCACAGCAACTCTAGAGGATGGAACAGAACTATCCCATAGGGTTTCCAAGGCTGTAAATCTTTATGGACACAAACTGCCTAATTTTTTGTCCCACGGAGTGATTGGTGGATTTGAACCACTGAACTTTTGGTTAGCAAGCCAATACTTTAACCATAGTGCCACCAGAGCTCCTTTCAAAGAGTTTACCCCTTCTTAATTTAGACATCAGGGAGCTCTGGTAGCATAGTGCCTAAGGCACTTGACTTCTAACCAGAAAGCTGACGGTTCAAACCCACCAGCCAGTCCTCGGAAGGAAGGTTGGGCAATCTACTGCCATAGTGATTGTTATGTTGCTGTTATGTGCCATCGAGTCAGACCCGACTCATAGTGACCCCTCCTTGGGTTTCTGAGGCAGTATCACTACAGAAGTAGATTGCCCCATCTTCCTTCCTAGGAGTGGCTGGTGGGTTTGAACTGCCAGCCTTCTGGTTAGCAGTCAAGTGCCTTAGGCACTAAGCTACCAGAGCTCCGTAGTGATACTGCCTCGGAAACCCAAGGAGGGGTTGCTGTGAGTCGGGTCCAACTCAAGAGCACATAACAACAACAACAATTTAGACATCAAGGAGACAGGAGAAAATGGGTGGCTAAGAAAACAGGGCAAAGGAAATACTAATACCTAATTATCATAGTTCCTGAAAAATTTAACTAGAAAAATTTGATAGATGGTATGCAATAGTCAAATAGCTTGATATAAATGCAGTAAGTCTTAGCAAAATAATAGTTTCACAATGAAAGATGCCACTTACTCCTAGATACCTGTGTTTGATACATCTAGCTATGCAGAGAAATCATATTACTAAAATGAATTCCAAAGAAAAGCAAATTGCTTTAATATATTAAAATTTTGTTGAACCAAATATTGTATAAAATAAGGAAGGCAGAAAATAGGAATTGATATATCATAATCTTTTTTCTTTTAATTATAGATTTTACTCTTTAGAGTACTTTCAGATTTACAGAAACATTGAGTATAAAGTACAGAGTTCCCATATACCCTTCTTTCCTTGTAGTTTCTCCTTTTATCTCACATTTCTTACAACTAATGAACTAATACTGATACATTATTAACTAAAGTCCATAAACAAACCTACAATAAAACACTGTTTCTGGTGTCAATGCTGCTGTTCTTCAGGTCAGGTCTAAATATACCTGTGCTTCAAGGCTGCCAATGTAAACAAACAAACAAACAAGGGAGATGGAAATCTTAAAAAAAAATAGAAATAACAGAAATTATTAACCCCATGGAAAGAGTTAGAAATAAAACTGAAATAAGGGAAGAAAGGAACAGCAAAATATAAAATAGTGCCTTTGAGATAGCTCAGTTTGAGGAGCAAACAGAGAAGGAAGAAAAATGAACAATGAGTAAGGGATATGTGGGAAATTATTAATAGGAATAATATAGACATACATTGTGGGGGTTCCAGAAGAAGAGATATATAAAAACCTAGAAAAAATTTTAGAAGAAATAATGGCAGAAAACTTCCCATATTTCATGAAAGGTGAGAAGTTTTACATCCAAAACACTCAACAAACTCCATATAGGAAAAATCCTAAAGAAACACACTAAGGCAAGTCATAATCAAACTCTCAAGAACCAAGGACAAGCAGAGAATTTTGAGTGCAGCATGAGAGAAGGTAAGTAGGACATTCAAAAATAAACCAACAAACAAGCAAATAAAAAACCCATTGCTGTCAAGTAAATTCCAACTGACAGCAACCCTTATAGAACATAGTAGAACTGTCTCATAGGGTTTCCAAGCCTGTAAATATTTACAGAAGCAGAGTACCACATCTTTCTCCCATGCAATGGCCAGTGGGTTTAAACTGCTGACTTTCCATTAGCAGTCAATCATTTAACCACCGTGCCACCATGGTCCTCAATAAGATTAAGTGCCAATTTCTCATTAGAAACTATGCAGGCAAGAAGATATGCAGGACAACATATTTAAAGTGCTGTAAGAAAAGAACCTGGCAGCTAATAACAACATACCCATCAAAACTGTCATTCAAAAATGAGGGTGAAAAACAAAGTACAGGCATGTGAGTTAAACATTTACCTCAAGTAGACACACGCCCTGGAGAGAACAATCATGGGAGAAGGAAGGGCTGCTTAT